AGAGTAAGAAAGATGACATGACAGAGATATGTGGGCTCGGTTGCCTAGGGAACAGAGACTAAGGCCTTTTGTAATGTTCAAAACCAGCTCAGACAATCAACACCCTAATTCACTGAACTATAAGAGGAACAGATAAAGCATCATCAGACTTTCCTCATGCTACTATTATAGTGCCACTCAATAAAGGTAAGTTTATCCATCCTGTGGAATTGATTTCATGAACTGGTTTATCTAGTGAGGCCAACAGATAAATATTCTCCTAAACATTTGTATGTCAGCTGTCATTTGAGAATAAACTCTTTAAAATCAGTTGCAAAAACTGCAGCCCGATAATTCTCTCTCTCTCTCTCTCTCTCTCTCTCTCTCTCTCTCTCTCTCTCTCTCTCTCTCTCTCTCACACACACACACACACACACACACAAATTGCTCCAAAGGTTTAGGCTGATATAAAGCACAGAAAAGTTATTAAATCCATGGGAAGTAACCTAATTAACCATTCATCAATTAATGTCACTTCATTTAAAAAACATTTAAATGTACATAACATTTTTTGTAGTCTGGTCCTTGATCGCAAAACAGTTGTATACTTCTCAGGGGCATCCAAGAAGGGGGGGAGCTGAAAAAATTCAAGATAGTAACCACAACTATAAAGGCCCACTTCTTTTTAACATGTGTGCATACAAAAGGAGGGGGCATCAGTCAGGCAGTCACAGTGCCATCTTGACTTTTTTGAACCTCCCTCCCTTACAGATGTTTTGATGCCCCCTTGCTGGACATAATATTAAAATATATTAACTCTCTGCTTTTGGTAGAGTAGCATTGTTAAGCATTGGAGTGCAGACCCATCTCAGATGCAGCCCTCTTACATGTTGCTAAAAATCAGCTTCCAAGAACTTAACTGGCATCTTTAGTGCTGAGGAATGTCAAGAGTTGAAATTTAGAATTACACATAAGTTCAACCCTGGGGAAAAGTTGCTGGCTTCAATGGGACTTACTTCGGAGCATATAGGTTGTCTTCGACTTACAACTGGAATGGGACCACTTGCCTGGAATGGGACCACTTGCCAGCCAGGTCGCCACGGGACAATTCAACATACACAAAAGTTTAATCAATTTTGATGGAACGGTAGCCATCAATAAAATAAAAAGGTCAATCCAGAAATATAAGAGTTACAATAATTTTGACAAAAACGTGGTCACCAATAATAAAAGTGCTTGAATGAAATGATTAATACAGCGTTGAATTGTCCCGTGGCGAATTGTCCTGCAGTGACTTGGCTGTAGTGAGTTGGCTGTGGCGAGTTGCAACCGCAATTGAGATCAGAATTTCCATTGCTAAGCAAGGGGGTTGTTAATGAGCCACACCTGATTTTACAACCTTTATTGTCACTGTTGTTAACTGAATAGCTGCAACTGCGAAGTGAATCACACTCTCGTTACCCAAATCTGGATTTCCTCCATTGACTTTGCTTGTCAGAACCAGCTGGGAGGGTCATGACCCCAGGATGCTGCCAGCCACAGTAAATACAGGCTGGTTGCCAAGTGTCTGAACTTTAATCACATGTTCCTGGGGATGCTGCCAGGGTCATAAGTGCAAGGACCAGTCATTGTCAGGTCCACCATCACTGGATTGTGCCTTGCTGGTGTCCTGCCATTAAGAAGGGGGGAGGGAGGAGGTTTGTTGGGTGCTGTTGCTTCAAATGTGGGAAATAGGGAAGGGGAGTGACAATGGAAGAAGAGCCGTTCTCCACTAAACTGGCTTGTACCAGGATCTTCAAGGCCGTTTGCCCTGAGAATGGAATGTTACCGGTTTGACACCTCAGAGTTTCTCAAAACATCTTCCTGGCACCACATTGGCTGGCTGGGGGACCGGTCATGGGGGGAGGGAGTGGGAAAGGAAAAGAATAGTTTTGTATTTTGCGCAGGAGTACCAGATTCTGCCTGGCTTTACTGCAATCATTTTCTTTCAGTAAAAGTTCCTCTGCTTCAACCAAATGGAACCACGGGTCTTACTTTCCTGATAACTAATTTTTTTAAGTGTAAAAAAAGTAACTTCAAGCAGTTGCTAAACAAATGGTTTTAAATTGAGGACTGCCTTAATTGCCTCAGATTTGAAAGAGGAATTGGCGTACAAACCCATTGGAAAAGAAACTTTAACAATAGGGATGGCTTAAGGATAAAGATATTTGCTCTTATGTGGGAGATGGATGCTGATAGAGAGAGGCACATTGTGAAATGAGAGAAGATGGTTTTGTCCTCCTCTGCCAAGTTTATGTAATATGGAGATTGTCCTCATTCCAGGCCATCTTAATCTCTCCTTGCCACACAAACCGGAGGAGAAGAGGCCTCTCTGCCAATAGTTATATAACAAGAAAGATCTAGCTGAAGGTGATAGAAACTGTGTTAAAGTTGGCTAAGAGAAGGTGTTACCATCCACACAACTCACGGGGATCTGATTTCTTTAAAGGAATAATTTAGACAGTTAATTCTTCCTTTAGAGAAATAAGACAGTTTTCCTTGAGGTAACCATCCAAAAATTACAGGAATGGGTAGCCAGCAGTAGCAGCATCTTCCTGTTAACACAAAGAGCTGTTTCAGAATGGCTTCTGGGATCGTCGACAATAGTCCTCGACTTACAACCATTAATTTAGTGACCACCTGAAATTACAAATTTTATAAAATGACTTGTGATTGTTTTTCACACTTAGAACTGTTTGCAGCATCCCCGAGGTCATGTGATTAAAATTCAAATGCTTGGCAACTGGCATTTTTTAATGATGGTTGCAGTGTCCTGGGGTCATGTGATCACCTTTTGCAACCTTCTGACAAGCAAAGTCAATGGGGAAGGCAGAGTCTCCTAACAACCACGTCGCTAACTTAACAACTGCAGGGATTCACTTAACAGCTGTGGCAAGAAAGGTCGTAAAATTCTCACTTAACAACCGTCTTGCTTAAGAGAAATGTTGGGCTCAATGGCGATTGTAAGTCAAGGACTATATCTGTACACACAAGTTCAGAAACTCAGAACTATCCAGCAATAAACAAAGATTATCTAGGGCAGGAGTCTGAAACCTTGACAACTTTAAGACTTGTGGACTTCAACTCCCAGAATTCCTCAGCAACATAGCTGGCTGAGGAATTCTGGGAGCTGAAGTCCACCAAGTTTTAAAGTTGTCAAGGTTGGAGACCCCTGGTCCAAGGTGTTGAAGGATCTGTTGAAGATAATCATTGAACTACCAACTGCCAGAAGACTGGAGATGTTGTTCCTGGCTTCAAACTAGAGAAGATGGAGAATTTGGGACATTATAGACCAGTAGATTGGATGTCTACACTAGACAAGGATATTTGTGAACATTTGTAGAGGAACTCAGCAATTAACAAGGGCCAACAAGGTTTTGTCACAAACAAGTTATGCCATATTAGTCTTATCTCCCATTTTGAAATAGTATTAGGTTAATAGGGAGAATGCTGTGGGCACAGTGTACCTTGAATTCAGCAAAGCATTTAACAAAGTGTCTCATGTTGTTTTGACGAATACAATGGTAAAATATAGGCTATAGGTTCCTACTGATTCACAGCTGGCTAATGACCACACCCAGAGAGTTGGTACAAATGCTTCCATATCAGATTGGAAACCGGTTAAGAAAGATGGCACCGGACTTTGACTTATTTTCCAACATATTGGCTAATTATCTGAATAATGGGATTAAGAGGATGATTATTTAGAGATGACACAAAACTAGGAGTGGCTGCCATTTTAGAAGAGGAAGAGAAGGTTCAAAAATATCTAGACAGGATTGAACCATGGGACAAAATGAACACAATAACATTTAATTGGGAGAAATGTTGGAAAGAAAAGGAAAAGTTCAAGTAATCTCCTCCAGGATAGAAGCAACCTAGAACTAAGGAGAAATTTCCTGACAATGAGAACTATTAACCAATGGAACGCCTTGCCTCCAGAAATTGTAGGTGCTCCATCACTGGAGGTTTTTAAGATGAGATTGGACAACCATTTGTCTGAAATGGTGTAGGGTCTCCTGCTTGAGCAGGGGCTGGACTAGAAGACCTCCAAGGTCCCTTCCAACTTTATTATTATTATTATTATTATTATTATTATTATTATTATTATTATTATTAAGCTATTCTCCAAAGCACCTGAAGGCAAGACAAGAAGCAACAGATGGAAACTAATCAAGGAGAGAAGCAACCTAGAACTAAGGAGAAACTTCCTGACAGTTAGAACAATTAATCAGTGGAACAACCTGCCTCCAGAAGTTGTGAATGCTCCAACACTGGATGTTTTTAAGAAGAGACTGGACAGCCATTTGTCTGAAATGGTGTAGGGTCTCTTGCTTGAGCAGGGGCTGGACTAGAAGACCTCCAAGGTCCCTTCCAACTCTATTAATCTGTTCTGTTCAAGTATCCAATAGCAGAGACCTGATCATACAAAATATACACGAAAAGGATCTGCACGTTCCAACAAATCACAAGCTGAATATAAGCCTGGAGTGTGAAGCAGAGCTGCTAAAAGGGATGTTTTTGCATTAAATACACCATCCGCCTCATTCCATTTTTTGAAACTACAATACTTGCATTTTTTAGTCACTAGTCAGAAGTTTACTTTGATATATATCAGGGGTCCCCAATCCCTGGTCCATGGACTGGTACTGCTCCATAGCCTGTTGGGAATTTGGGCCATGCAAACAGCAGGTCAGAGCACAAAGCTTCAACTGTGCACGCGTGGGTTTAGGTCGCACACGTGAAACCATCCCGTTCCTGCCACCATCGCCTCTGCTGCCAGTCCGTGGAGCCAAAAGAGTTGGGGACCGCTGCTACCGTATATACCGGGGTAGGCAACCTTGGCTCTTTTATGACTGGTGGACTTCAACTGGATCAGAAATTCTGGGGGTTGAAGTCCACCAGTCATAAAAGAGCCAAGGTTGCCTATCCCGGTATATATGTTGTCTATCTTTGTACAAATTAAGGAACAAAACACTCACTGATGTTGAAGGTCCAATTCAGGCCAAGCCCCCATGGAAGTCAGCTGTTCTTCCAGCTGGATGATACGCAGACCAATGTAGCCTGAAGAACAAAGTAGGAGAACGGCCCTATGGGAGATGCAAACAAAGCTTGTTAAAAAGTCAGCATTGGGAAAAGAAGTAACATCTAAAGATATTCCTAGCTCAGCCCTGAAATCTCTTGTGATGACTTCTAAAGAGGTACAAGATCCAGATTCCAAAACAGCTTGAATGACAGTGACTAGAGCAATTTGTTTTTTAGCATTCTATTTCAATTCTCTTAATTTTAATCATTTTGTATTCCTTTTTTTTACTTTTTATTATATTGTAAGCTGTCTGAACTCAGTGTATCAGTAAAAAAGGATGGCATAAAAAATTAAAATTTGAACCATTTTCCTTCATTCCTTTACCCACAATTTAAAAAAATAGGAAAGATTGTCCGGGAATCTGTTCCTAGCATTCCAGAGGCCAGTTTTAAATTACAGGGAAACAGATTCCAGCTAAATGTTGCAAAGTGCTTCCTAGTTATATGTAACAGTTCAACATGATGAAGCAAAAAGGCAGGGAGCTAATAGAATAGAATAGAATAGAATAGAATAGAATAGAATAGAATAGAATAGAATAGAATAGAATAGAATAGAATAGAGCTGGAAGGGACCTTGGAGGTCTTCTAGTCCAGCCCCCTGCTCAAGCAGGAGAACCTATACCATCTCAGACAAGTGACTGTCCAGTCTCTTCTTAAAAACCTCCAGTGATGGGGTGCCCATGATTCTTGGAGGTAACTTCTGTTCCACTGATTAATTGTCCTCGTTAGGAAGTTTCTCCTTAATTCCAGGTTGCTTCTCTCTTTGATCAGTTTCCATCCATTTTTTCTTGTCCTGCCCTCTGGTGCTTTGGAGAATAACATGACCCCCTCTTCTTTGTGGCAGCCCCTCAAATACTGGAATACTGCTATCATGTCACCCCTATTCCTTCTTTTCTTTAGACTAGCCAAACCCAAGTCCTGCAGCTGTTCTAGCCAAGTGGAAGGCTACAATTAATTGAAGGCTGTTTGTTTGTGCATTTGAGAGGCAGATCCACCATATGGCTGCCATTGTACAGTCTTGTTACGAAAACAAAAATAGAATGCTCAATATCTGGCCTTAAAGTTTGGGGCATGTATTTAGAAAATCTCAGCTTGGCTTGTTCTTTGCTGGATGTTCAGAAAGAGGTTAGGTAATTTTCTATCTGAAAATTTGGAATTCTGCGCCAAGAAGATGGATGGACTAGATGGCCTCAATAGCCCCTTCAAACAGTTTTAAGGTTCACTCACAACAAGAGGTAGATAAGTATAATTGTGTTCAAACGGCACCGTTCAGTCCTCTGGTTTCTTTCTGACTTCATCGTCTGCCCTGTCTCTGCCAAAGGAAAGTTCATCACAGTTTATTACAAGATGGTGAAAAGATAACCAGATCCTTGTTTACTACACAATAGCAACACCAGCATGATTGGGAAATTTTACTTAGTTTTGGAAGACAACACCCAGCAAATGGGTTGAAAACAGCATCTCAAGGAATAGAGCTAAATACGGCAAGAGGAATTAATTTACCAAAGCATGCAGCTTGTCCTCAATTAACAAACATTTGTTTAGCGACCGTTCAACAGCCCTGAAAAAAGTGACTTATGACCAGTCCTCGCACTTACAACCACAGCTGTGTTCCCACAGTCATGTGATCAAAATGTGTATGCTTGGCAACCAGCATGTATTTACAATGGTTGCAGCATCTTGGGCCATGTGATTGTTACTTGTGATCTTCCCAGCCAGCTTCTGACAGGCAAAGTCAATGGGAAAAGCCAGGTTAACTTAATGACCTCATGATTCACTTAAAAATTGCACTGATTTGCTTAACTGTGGCAAAAAGGTTATAACATCAAGCATGACTCATTTAACAACCACCTTGCTTAGCAGTGGAAATTCTGGTCCCAATTCTGATCATAAGTCAAGGATTAACTCTATCTACAGAATTACTCCAGTTTGCAGGTCTTCGGCAGTTGGTCTTTTCCCTCCTATATTGTTATTGCTCACTTGGGATAAACTTGTTCCAATTTAGGACAGCTGAGATCCATTTTTACAGCGCTCTATATCTCCCAATATAGGTGACTGAAATTCTACAGCAAACCACTGGTTTTTGGTGGGCCAATGTTTTGGTTTTAAAATACAAGCTAGAATAGGCATCTTCCATTTTTATTATTTCTCTTAGTTCCCTGCAACCTGATTTACTAGAATTTCTTCTAGTAAATTTCTTTTGCCTTTGCCCCCAATTTAGCCCACCCCTATTGTTTAGCCACGACTATACCCTCTACGATTCTTGGAGGCAGGGTTTTTTTTTTTAAGGAACATTCCCCCTACTTCACAAATATTCTCCACTGCACTGAGAAATTCAGACCAGTTTTGCCCATCCACAACTCTCAAAACTGAAAGGATTGGTTACTTACTTTGCTGTTTTGTCTCCTGCTGTTGCTGTTCGCAAGACACTTCGTAGGATATCTGGATCCTGTCTGCCACATCTGTTAAATGAGAAGCAAACCCAAGTCCTAGTCAGCACACAGCCTAAGAATTGTCAATGAAAGTGGTGGATACTTTCTGTTTTTTAGAATCACTGATCAGCAGTAAAGGAAACAATGCTCAAAACAATTGCTGCAGGCTAGCATTTGGTAGGGTAGCAATGAAGGCCTTGGAAAAGATCATTCAGATGCTATGATATGTCTGTGATATTATTCAATTTTCCCTGTGACAATCTATGAAAGCAAAAGTTGGACTCTGAAGAAGCAGAATAGACAGAGCATTGATGCCTTTGAATTTTAGTGTCTATGTAGATTCTCAGTCATCCAGGTCATGCTTATCCCAAAAGTTCTTTTCAAAATGCTACACTTGGAATACTGCATCCAGTTTTGGTCACCATGATATAAAAAAGATGTTGAGACTCTAGAAAGAGTACAGAGAAGAGCAACAAAGATGATTAGGGGACTGGAGGCTAAAACATATAAGGAATGGTTGCTGGAATTGGATATGTCTAATCTAATGAAGAGAAGGACGAGGGGGGACATGATAGCAGTATTCCAATTCTCAGGGGCTGCCATAAAGAAGAGGGAATCAAGCTATTTTCCAAAGCGCCTGAAGGCAGGACAAGAAGGAACGGGTGGAAACTAACCAAGGAGAGAAGCAACCTAGAACTAAGGAAAAACTACCTGACAATTAGAACAATTAACCAGTGGAACAACCTGCCTCCAGAAGCGGTGAATGCTCCAACACTGGAAGTTTTTAAGAAGAGACTGGACAGCCATTTGTCCGAAATGGTATAGGGTTTCCTGCCTGAGCAGGGGTTTGGACTAGATGACCTCCAAGGTACCTTCCAACTTTATTATTATTATTATTATTATTATTATTATTATTATTATTATTATTATTACTATTATGGCAACTAAATTTTGTTTTTTTCTTGAAGACGTTTCACTTTTCATCCAAGAAGCTTCTTCAGTTCTGACTCAATGAGTTGATGCCAATTTGATGACACAATCAACCAACTGGCTGGGCAGGCTGGGATTTTGGTGTATCCAACAAAGCTACTCAGAGAAGCTTCGAAAGGTGACCTGGCCTTTAGGTGGAAGCACTTTGCCATTCCTTCCCATATATTCATTCAGCCTAAAAACATGGCAAAATAATTTAACTGCAATCTCACCTGTTTTCTCTGGAGAGTTGTAATTTGCATCTAATTCCTTAGAGTTCTACAAAGAAAGAAGAATGAGGATTGGTTGGGGGAAGCGTGTTCAGAATAATCCAGTAGCTTTTTGTTTAAAGATTGGACTGTACTAGGAATATCTAACACAGGTAATCCTCAATTTACAACAGGTTGCTTAGCAACCATTTGAAGTTATAATGAACCTCCCTGGGGGTATTTATAACCCAATCAAGTTAACGGAGATGGCCAAATTGACTGTTTTGATTAAAGAAAGAACACAACTGATTTTGTTTCTACTTGGAAACCACTTTTGGACTTTGTCCTTGCGGTGGAAAAAACCAAAACTTTGACTTTGGATTTTGCTGATTAGATAGGTTTGATGTTATCGAAATGCCGACTTTATATTATTATATAAAAGAAGAAAGTTGAGATCTTAAGTTACTACCATATTCTACTACCTCAAAAAGAAATCAGAAGTCAATGCCTTTTTTTAACTCCTCTGCCCGGCGTTTTTTCTCTTCCCTTTTTCCCTCCTTATCTTTCCATTATCTTCATTTTTCTTTGCATGTTTCATATTTTATATTTTGATAAACCAATAAAAATTTGTAAACTTGGGGGTATTATAACCCAGTTCCAAAGTTCAGATAGCCACATTTCCCCCCCCCCACGTGGAAATGTGACCACACGTCAGACATTCAGCAAAAGACCTGTATTTATGGCTGTTTACAGCCTCCTGCAGTCATGTGACTGCATTTTATAATGGTTTTAGTTTCAGTTTTTGACATTTATTTTTGGTTTTTGACAAACCCAACCTTCAGCAAACCATTGGTTCATTTGACAATTCTGGCAATTACTTAACGCCTGCCACAAATAAGGTCATAAAATCGGGTTGGTCACATAAGTCATATTTTATGACCATCAGGCTCCATTACAGTAGTAAGTTGAGGACTACTACCTGTACTATAAATGAGCCTGTTTGATTGCGGGGTTATCATATCAAATTTGGGCTGCAAGAACTGAGACAACTAGGTGGAAGCAAAGATATGTAGATGATATTTATGAACACTTTGCTGCCACCCCATGGCCACCTAGAGTTTTGCAGCCCAGGTAAGATGGGCTCCCCAAGATAAATTGGAAGCAATGTAGTGCTTGAAAGAACAATTCTCCACCCCCGATACTTTATCATCCCATAAAGTATTAGCAGCATAACCATTTATTTCCTAATAATAAAAGTGTATGAAAGAGAATGTTTATATTATTTGTGACTTCCTTGCCCTTGAACATACACACCAGGGGTACTTTCAGGAGATGCTCTGAGCTGATGGAAGGTACATTTGGACTGTTACTCTGACTGCTGTCCTGGAAGCAGCACAAAGAGAAAGAGGAAATATTAGTCTGGTCCAACAAAGTGGAGCTGAGATATCAGAAGCAACCTTTGATTTTACATCTTGGGGTATTATAAAAGTCTCCCATCTCACTTTACGGTATTTAAGACTACCTAATAATTTTGAAAAGGCAAAAATCACCACAAGCATCTCTGTGTGAATCACAGGTGGTCCTTGACTTACAACCACTTATTAAGTGACTTGAAGTTACAACGGCAGTGAAAAAAGTGACTTAGGACCGTTCTTCACACTTACGACCATTGCAGCATCCTTGTGGTCAAAATCCAGATGCTTGGCAACTGGCATGTATTTATCAGAGCTGCCCTGTCCCAGGGACATGTGATCACCTTTTGACAAGCAAAGTCAATGGGAAAGGCATAATTCCCTTAACAACCATCGTTACTAACAACTGCAGTGATTCACTTAACAACTGTGGCAAGAAAGGTTGTAACACGGGACAAAATTCACTGAACAATTGTCTTGCTTAGCAATGGAAATTTTGAGGTCAGTTGTGGTCATGAGTCAAGGACTGCCTGTATTAAAAAATGTTAGAATAATAATTGTTAGAATAATTGGCCACCCAAAATCAGTTGAAAAAGCAAATTCCTTGCTGTGCCCAACAGCAGAGCTAAAATAAACTGGACCTGGATCACAGAATCCTAGAACTGTGACATGGGAAGGGACCACTAAGGTCACGTAATCCAACATCTTGTGATGTGCAGGAAGTTAATTAAGCCATACTTGACAGCCCTAAGCCTATTGAGATTAGATGGGTGGGGATGGATGGATGGGGAAGGATTGCAAAAATAACTGGGACAGCTATGCAGCAACATTTCCAGTCTGGAGCTTAATTACCTTGAGATATTTACAAACAGAGCGCAGAAGCTGGTAGGCACTCTCCCGTGACCGGATGGAGCCAAACAGAAACTGCAATAGAGAGTAGAAGACAAACAGGACGTTACAGCACAAAGCAAATTCAGAGGCAATGCAGTTTGCTTCCTGATGGGGAGGGACCATCTGTTTTATGCAGCAGGCCCTGATGGAAGTAGTCAGGAAAAATAGTCTGAACTGGGATAAAAGAATTTCCAGGGTCTCAGCAACTTTTAGCCCATTTTCTCTTCCAAAGAAGGCCTGACCCACAACTAAGTTTGTCTGGTCTTTAGCTTTACCATTCAGACCAGGTAATCTGGCGAATAGAGGTCTCCTACCTTTTCGCCTTCAGATGTACGGATGCAAATGGCATTGGGTACCAACAAGGCCGTATTGGCCTTCTTTAGGACACTGATATTTGCCACCGGAATGATAACCTGCCCGGAGAAAAAGGGAGGAAGGAGGAAGTCAGCGACATAGATCGGCTTTTTATGGTTCCCGATCAGACTTTGGGAGAAGTGACTGTGATTGAGTTTACAGGTAGTCCTTGACTTACAACCATTCCTTTATTGACTGTTCGATGTTATAATGGCACTGAGAAAAGTGACTTACGGCCATCTTTCACACTTACAACCTTTGCAGCAACCCCATAGTCATGTGATCAAAATTCAGATGCTTGGCAACTGACTCATATTTATGGCGGTTGCAGTGTGCCGGGGTCACGCGATGCCCTTTTGCAAACTTCTGACAAGCAAAGTCAATGGGGAAGCTGGATTCACTTAACAACCGGGTTACTGACTTAATTAACGGTAGTGATTAACTTAACAACTGTGGCAAGAAAAGTCGTAAAATGAAGCAAGCCCCACTTAACAACTGTCTTGCTTAACAACAGAAATTTTGGACTCAACTGTATTTGCAAGTCAAGGACTATCTTTACACCCTGCACAAAGCCATCATGGCTAAGCAGAGAGCCTGCATACTACACTGGTGAAAGGGCTGGAGTGGGAGCCAGGATCAAATCTGCCTCGAATGTGGAAATCCTTTAACATGAATTAAAGATAAATCTTGGCTTGCCGGTAATTGGCTGGGAAGGTTGCAAATGGTGATCATGTGACCTCAGGATGCTGCAACTGTCATAAGTACAGGTAGTCTTTGACTTACGACCAAAACTGAGCCCAACATTTCTGTTGCTGAATGAGACATTTGTTTTGTCCCATTTTACGACCTTTTTGCCACAGTTCTTAAACAAATCAATGCAGTTATTAAGTTGTTAAACGAATCAGTGCAGTTATTAAGTTAATGATGAGGTTAAGTGAATCTGGCCTTCCCATCGACTTGGCTTGTCAGAAGGTTGCAAAAGGGGATCACATGACCCCAGGACACTGCAACCGTCATAAGTACAAGTCATTTGCCAAGCGTCTGAATTTTGATCACATGACCATGGAGATGCTGCAAAGGTCCAAAGTGTGAAAACCGGTCATAAGTTACTTTTTTCAGTGCTGTTGTTAACTTTGAATGGTCACTAAATGAACTCTTGTAAATCGAGGACTACCTGTACACATGGGTTGCCAAGAACCCGAATTTAGATAATAATGTGATCATGGGGATGCTTTGATGGATGTAAGGGTAAGAACTGGTTGCAAGTCATTTTTTTCATTGCAGCCATTGTAAATTCTGGCTGTAAATCAAGGACTACTTGTATTAGCTTCAGGTTTTGAGGCAGTGCTACTATTGTTAATCTGCTAAAGCCCAGAAAGCCTTACCTTAACTTCCCGTCGAAGCACGCTACAGTAGAAGCAGATATGAGTGTTAGCGATGTAGAGGCGGCCATAATAAGGCATCTCCCGTTGCCAGGCACATGAAAATGCTGCGAAACAAGAGGAGGAATTAAGGATTAATGAGGGAGGTGGGGAATTCAGGAACATAGGAAGCTGCCCTAGCCTAGGGAGGGACCTACCAGAACATTATATTCCATCAGTGTGATGACTGTTTCATTCATAAAATCCATGACACAGGCCCCAAAATCTCCATTCTCTTCCCCAGCTGCATTCTTAAAATTCATTGTGTCTTACATGTACTGTAATGTACAATATGCTTTATTTGGGGGACACGATGAGCCAACAGAAGGATAGGCACTTCGCTTCCTCCAATGGATTGGTAGCTAGGTGGACCTACTGACCTGAGGGAAGGTTGAAGAAAAGAGAATTCAACAATGGGATATCTATCTTGCTAATTAAAGAATCAAGGTCTCTTGAAACCTGAGAGCCAAACCTGACACGTCTTCAAGAGCTTGAGACCAAGTTAAGACTGGGTCCTCCTAGCAACCAGGAGGCGTGTCAAGCTTGGCTAACTTGGTCTCAAGAGCAGGCAGACAGAGAAAACCCATTGGTGGATTCTCCATCTCCTGTGCTGGAGAAAAGACTGATTTCAAAAATTCCACATCAGAAAGAACAATGAGACACCTTCCATCATTCTGACGTGGGAAGCCTAGGAAAACTACTATGAGAGAATTGGCAATGTAGCATATTTTGTCCGCATCACTAAATTCCATGTGTTTATTTCCAAAGGAAAATATAGCAAGAGCATTTAGCAATGGCACTTAGACTTATATACCTCTACATAGTTTTATAGCCCTCTCTAAGCGGTTTACAGACTCAGCCTATTGCCCCCAACAATCTGGGTCCTCATTTTACCGACCTTGAAAGGATGGAAGGCAGAGTCAACCCTGAGGCGGTCAGGATTGAACTCCTGGCAGTTGGCAGAGTTAGCCTGCAATACTGCATTCTAACCACGGCACCACCAAGGCTTTTTTTTAAGGTTTAAAAAACTGGTATCCCTTTAAAACTGATAAAAGTAGAAAAAAAAGGCTGATAACTTATGAGACAGCTAAAATGAGATCTCAGGCAATGAATTTTTTTTTTTAAAAAAAATTAGTTTATGCAATTTTTATAATGCCTACAAAACAGTATCCGCTACCTGAAAGGGTTGAGATTCTTGCTGTAGGAAAAGAACTAATTTGGATTAATGTAAAAAAAAAAAGAGAGAGAGAGAGAGAGAGAGATCCACATTTCACACTGTCCCATCTTAATAAAAAACAGCAAATGCAGATCTGGGAAAGAGCCCCTCCCATTTTACACCAATCTCTCCCTTTTAACACATTCTATGAAGGTCTCTGTTGAGTGGATGAAACAGTTCTTGGAGAAGTCAGTCCATCATGTGTCACAGGTAGTCCTTGACTTACAATCAGTGGTGGGATTCAGCAGGTTCGCACCAGTTCAGCAGAACCAGTAACTAATTTTTTGTTCCCCAGCCCAGAACAGGCATCCACACAGAGGACCAGTTGTTCACATATTTGAATCCCACCGCTGCTTACAATCATTTGTTTAGTTCAGGGGTAAGCAACCATGGCTCTTTTATGACTCGTGGACTTCAACTCCCAGAATTCCTGAGCCAGCCATGCTGAGGGGAAAGGGAGAGGTTTCCAAGCTGAGCCATGCCAGCTCAGGAATTCTGGGAGTTAGTCCATGAGTCATAAAAGAGCCAAGGTTGCCTACCCCTGGTTTAGTTCAAAGTTACAACCGCACTGATAATAGTGACTTATGATTGGTCCTTGTACTTATAACAGTTGCAGCATCCCCATAGTCACATGATCAAAATTTGGACACTTGGCAAACAGCATTTATTTACAACAGTTGCAGTGTCCTGGGATCACATGATCGCCATTTGCAAGCTTCCCAGCCAGCATCCAACAAGCAAAGTCCATGAGAGAAGTCAGCAAAATTTCCCTCGTTTAATGAACTTGTAATTCACTTAACTGCAGTGATTCGCTTAATGGTCATTGGGAAAATGATCATAAAATCAGGCACGGCTCCCTGGCTTAGCATTGGGAAAATCTGGTCCCAATTGTAGTCATAAGTCGAGGAGTACCTGTATAGGGTCTTTCCCAATATAAGAGACTCAGAGATGGGATGGCATCCTGCAGGAATTACTTACTTCCCTGGAGGCTCCCCTCTTCAGAGAGATCTTTGAAGACGCGGTGGAAGTTCACGGCATGCTTCGCCAGCTTGAAAGGGGAGAAAGAAATTAAATTTTCAGAGCTTAACTTTTTTAAAAAGCAAACCAAAACGAATGCTGTCTGCCAAGCGATTGGTCAATTTTGCAAAATTCAACAATAGCAAAGGAAAGCTTGGATAAAACATCAATGTTTTTGCTGATCTATCAGGCTGAACAAATGATCTTATCATGGAGGTGACAATATTGCTAACTCACTCCTGAGTCCCTTCCACTCATTTCAATGTACCTCACACCCTCTGCAACATTTACAAATCTTGCCAATTACTTAATTATTTATTCCTAAATAGAAGCAGGGCTAAATTGTGAAAATGGGTGAAAATAATTTCCATGGGGCACCTTCCAATTCTGCCATTCCTGAATTTTTTGCCTGTTAAAAAAATCAAAACACCCCAAACAGGGAAAAATTGCTCTAACTGGATGGTGGGGAATGGAAGGATTTATACTCCTTGCAGACAGCTGGTCATTTGCATCCTTTTAGATAGACAATGAGGCCACCTGGAGGTTTATCTGTGTGGTCAGGATCAAAGAGGCCATCTATATCAAAATTGAATAGGCCTCTCTCCATAGAGAGGGAGGGATATGACATCATCTATCTCCAGTCTACAACACAGTCCTTGCAACAATTCCAAGAAGGCTCCACATCCATTTGCACTACTCAAGGGACCCTGACGGGTGGCTTCAATAGAATGCAAATGACCAGCTGTCTTCAAGGAATATAAATCCTTCTATTCCCCACCATCCAGTCAGAGCTGAAGAAGCTTCTTGCATGAGAAGCAAAACGTCTTCAAAAAAAAAAACCAAAACAAAAAAGTCCAGTTGTCTCGTGAAAAAGTATCTTTGGGGCTAAGGTAGCTGTTCTTTGATATAACCTTAATATTTCAGAAAGATTCCATTGACCTTTTAAGGAAGCTGACTTTGCTCTGAACTTTCCTACTATTCAAATGTGAGATACACTGATTAAGTTGGTGTCAACTCTTAGTGATCACATAGGTGGATCTTCTCCAAGATGAGTGATGGTATTCTCATAATGACATGTAAAGACAAAGATAAAGGTTTCCCTTGTCCAGTTGTGTCTGACTCTAGGGGGTGGTGTTCATCTCCATTTCTTTAGCCAAGAAAGAGCCAGTATTGTCCAAAACCCCAGGATAATAGGGCCAGCATAACTATATGACGAGGGCTCATGGAATGTTGTTGTCAACTCTACAATGAACCTGGCTGCAGCCATCTTGCTTGTTCTAGTTTGCCATATGAATGGGAGGGGGTGTGGAGGATTTTTGCTAGTCTAAACAATTCTGTGTCCCATGGGAACCAAAGTCATTCTGTAGGTTATGCTAGGGGGTTCGGTGGGATGTTAGAAAGCCCGCCAAACTATTCTATTGGGAAACTGATTGCATAACACTGGGGTGGGAAGTTTGACTTTGTAATAGTGTAACTCTTCGGAGGGAATTTTAGATTTGGTTTCACTTTTGACCATGCCGATATTGTATCAAAGAAACATGTTCTTTGAGGAAAACTTTAGCTTGGAGTTCTGATTTATTTGGCTCTATCTATCGGAACCATGACAGCTGTTACCTTCCCACCAAAGTGGAGCTATTTATCTACTCGCATTTGCATGCTTTCAAACTGCTAGGTGGGCAGGAGCTGGGGCAAATAACAGGAGCTCACCCTGTCTTGTGGCACTTGGGTCTCAAACCCTGACTGTCAGCTTTCCAGCTGATAAGTTCAGTATCTTTAACCGCCGAGCCATCGCACCCCTTAATGACATACCTTCATTTAAAAGAAAAAGCCCACTCTTTTAAGGACCATAATGTTCACATTTTGGACAGGGAAGAGAGATGGCTTGAGAGAGGAGTGAAGGAATCCATTTATACTAAAGTGAAAAATCCTTCCCTCAATAGAGGGGGAGACTGAGAATCTTCATCGATCTATTCTCACAACAATTTAAAGCAGACATGTCAAACACAAGGCCCGGGGGCAGGATGCGGCCCGCGAAGTGGTTTCATGTAGCCCGCGAAGCCATCCTGGAAATAGTGAGGGAACGGCCCCCTCTGCCTTGGTCCTGGTCCAGGCCAGCCAGGAGCCAATGTACAATTTTGTGGTGGCCATCTATGTTGAAACGCATTCAGTCTTAGCTCCATAACTCCCCCCCCCCGCATGGCCTGAGATGAACGTGAGGCTCCTCCAAGACCATGCCTTGGCACTTGCCCCAGTCCCACCCCCTTCTGCCAGAGACCCTCAGATATCCCACTCCTGCCCAGGCCCCCACAGGCACCCTTGACGCGAACAATGTAGAGCTGGCCACACCCACCCAGTAGGCCATACCCACTCCGTCCATGCCCACCCAGTAGGCCGCACCCATCCTGGCCACACACCCCCTCCCTGAGGGCAATCGCAATGCTGATGTGGCCCTCAATGAAATTGAGTTTGACACCCCTGATTTAAAGTTTCTTATTAAAGCTGCTTGTGCTTCTGCTTCAAATTTTCTGTGGAAACTCAACTCTGGCCTCAATCAACTTTTCATACACAAACACAGAAAACATTTGACCACAAATTACTTGGCAAGCTCTTCCATCCTACTAATCCATGCTCTTAAAAATATTTTTATGGAATGTGTATGTCTGGGAAAAATGTATAAGCAAAACCAACATAATTTTTTATTCTTTAAATTTGATCTGAGCATGTACTAATGAAAGCATGATTTGAGAATTGTGCATATCATAGATCACTCAATCCTATCAGTTGTCCTTCCTCCAGATGGGATTACGGAGTCCCAAGCAAATCAAATAAATCTGGCTGAAAGACAGTTTCAATGTGGGGTTTTCACTCTATGGGTCAAGGGTTGTCAAACATTTTCAAGCTGTGGAATCTCTTAGTTTACACAGAACCCTGGAAGTCCATAGAATGTAGTTTGAAAAAGCTGGATATAGATTTCTATTGCTATATCAGTTCTGAAAACAACAGATTAAAGCAACGTTTTTTGAACTTGGCAACTTTAGATGTATGGACTTCAACTCCCAGAATTCTCCAGCTGGCTAGAAAATTCTAGGGGTCGAAGTTCACACAACTTAAAGTTGCCAAGTTTGAGAAACACTGGGTTAAAGCTATTGTAAAAGTACACTAAGCAGCAAGTTTGCAACAGCTTTTGGAAACATTTTTCACCACAAGCAATCTGCAAAGTATAGCAATTCTAATAATCATGAGGAAGGCAAGATTCCATTGTTGTTGTTGTTATTGTTAGCTGCGAAGTCGTGTCCAACCCATTGCGACCCCATGGACAACGTTCCTCCAGGCCTTCCTGTCCTCTACCATCTTCTGGAGTTCATTTAAGATTTCATTACAGCCAGCAAAATCCAAAATGCCCACTAAGTGGCAGCAAAGAGTTGGGTGTATTTTCGTAGCCATTTAGTGGTCATCTGGATTTGTGTGGCCCAGATTTAAATGTATTCCTACTCCTAAACCCCTTGAGTTGCAAAATTCATTTCCATATAGCAAGACAGATTTAAGGAATGTCCACTGAAATTTTAAGGTGCTGACAAAGTTATAAATGTCCACAAAAAAAGGGGCTGAAGGAAATGATTAAAATTCCATGACCATGAAAATCTCCAGGGGAATGAGTTTACTCTAAGGATAGCTGCCTGCTAGGTTTTTGTAAGTTAGTCTTAAGTAGAAGGTAGGTTCTTCCAAATAGAGGTAGTCCTCACTTAATGATCAATCATTTAATCATCATTCAAAGTTACGATGGAAACAAAAAAGTTATGACATGTCCTTGAAGTTAGGACTGCCACACTCCCCACAATCCCATTATCACATTTTGAATGCTTGACAACTGGCTTGCATTTACAACTGATTGCAGCATCTCATGGTCACATGATCATGGTTTGCAACATTTATTTTGCCGGTTTCTGGCAGTTTCAGGCAGAAACGTACTTAATGACCATGTGGTTCACGTCACAATTATTTGCTTAACAACCATGATGGCTCACTTTATCACAGTTATAAAAAACAGTGGTAAAACTGAGTCAGGCCACATGGCGACCCACTTAATGACCGCAATGACTTACAACCAAAATTCCAAGCTCGGTTGTGCTTGTTAAGCAAGGACTACCTACAGGCAAGGCAGAAATAATTCAGTGGTGAGCAGGGCTGCCCCCAAATGGCAGTAGACAAGGCCGCCTTAGTGTGAAAGTTGAAGTCCCCAAGACTTAAATCTGTAGCATCTTGAATATTGTCACCTCAGCGTCACTTGAGAAAGCTGCTAGGGAGACAGCACACCTGCCCCTCCAGATCCAGCCTCTATTCTCCATTCCAGATGCACAAAACTGGCCCATGTGGATTGGAAAATCTGGACAGGGAAATCAAAGCCTCTAAGGCCAGGGGTAGGCAACCTTGGCTCTTTTATGACTCGTGGACTTCAACTCCCAGAATTCCTGAGCCAGCCATGGTTGCCTACCCCTGCTCTAAGCAAAGGTAGAATCAGGGCAATTACATCATCATTGGGGCCAGCTCTAGGAAACTTCACCTATCGCAAACTTACATTAGAGACAGAAGCTTTTCTCTGGACAGAAGCTGTTTCCTTCTCAACCTCTTTGGAGACAGATGCATCGTATGTTTTAGATCTAAAAGCAGAGGTAGAAACCAAATGGATCAATAGATATTTATAATACTTATCAAATCCCTAATTCTTCAGAATACATGTTAAAAGTGGAAGGTGCCAAGCAAGTTTCAACAAACCAGCTTTGTTCACGCAATATCTTTCGACAGGTCTAGTGGTTACACCCACATAACACACTAAGCTTGGCTGATTTTAACAGAATAACAGAGTTGGGTGGAACTTTGGAGGTCTTCTAGTCCAATTCCCCTACTCAAGCAGGAGATGCTGTACGATTCTGGACAAATGACTGTCCAATCTCTTAAAAACCGCCAGTGATGATGTCCCAAAGGTGCTTTTTCAAAAGGCAACTGGACTTTGTTTTTCCTTGAAGACGTTTTGCTTCTCATCCTACAAGCTTCTTCAGTTCTGAAGCTTCTTGGATAAGAAGTGAAATGTCTTCAAGGAAAAACAAAGTCCAGTTGCCATTTGAAAAAGCACCTTTGGGACAACCATGACTTGGATGATTGAGAATCTCCATAGACCTCCAGTGATAGAGCACTCACAATTTCTGGAGGCAAGCCATTCCACTAACTAGTTCTCATTGCCAGGAAATTTTACCCTATTAGTTTTTCTGTGGCTTATCTAGACTATGATCTCAGGCCTTTTGATAGTATATTATCACATAAATCCAGCAAGGATTAATCTAATAACTGGATTAAGTGAGCTATGTGCACAGTCACTTAGATTTCTCCAAGTTGAACTAGAGAGATCATCCATATTACTCAAACTACGTTCTCCTCCACCCACCTCCAGTGCAGTAACCCACTGCTGGACTACAATGCCCATTTTCCCCCAGACAGAAATGAGTAGCTGGCATTAATGGGTGATATAATCTGATTCAATTGGCAGGGATCTTCTCTGGAAGGGCTACCCAGACTCACCGAGTCAAAAGTGCATTGTGTTCATTTTGGTGCCCCTCGGCAACAAATTCTTCCAGGCTGTAGGATTTTTTCTGCTCTGACATCTTCCTTTTGCTCTTTCGGTTTTTTCCAGACATGTCGGGGATGCAGCTAGGAGAACAACAACATTTGCTCAGTTGTGTCATTCAGTCCTCCCTCACCTCCAGCCACAGGTGGATACCGGCATTCCTCATCCGGAATCATCCTGGTGAGTAACCGCCTGTCATCATCATCCCAAAGAGAGGCGCTTCCACTGCGCCCATTACACAGATGATCCCCTAAGGCTCAGATGTTATTGTGAACAAGAGCCTCCAAGAACGAGGCTTGTAAAATATGATAAAAAGAGCTAAATAAGGAGAGAGCAGAATTCCTAACCCAGTCTTAAAAGGCCATCACCTGGGTAGCTATTAACAAACCCGAATTGCACGGTGCTGCTGAAATAGCGAAGTGAAAAGTTTTACAGCTGTGAAAAAGAAGCACCTTCTTTCTGCCCTCCTTTGGTTTTGTTTTGCTTGGCTTTTGATCCTCTGCATCAAGCAATTTCCCATTGGCCTCTCATTAACTCAAAGCAATTATCTTTCCATCAATTAACTGTGCATTCATAGGTTGCCCTGCCCCAATACAAACCCTGAGACCTTGGCTGCCGAGCCAATGACAAGAATGGAAAACTACTGGTGGGTGCAACTTGGCATGGCCTTTAGTTCTCAATAAAGTATAAAACAACAATTAGCTTAGGGAACTTCCATGCCCAGGAATAGTCTACCCCCGAATATCAGTTGTTTGGGATTAAACACAGAAGGAATGTTCCTTTCCTTAGGTATTGCTTTTAATCAGGTTTAGATGAATTTTTCATCTGGCCTATTGAACACCGCTGGATATGACTGGACATGAGAAACCTTTACCTTTATTAAGTTACATATTCTTATGAAGGCCAAATCTGCTGAAATTGTCAATGTCAATAGAGCATATGAAGCACAGCTGCTATTGTTATTAAACTATGATAGCTAAATAAGCCTAGTAGCCAAATGGATATGCATGGAGCTTACGACCACAACTAGGAACAGGATTTCTATTGATACCCAAGTGGTTGTTAAGTGAGTTGCGCCTGATTTTACATTCTTTTTTGCCACGTCTGTTAAGCGAATCACTGCACTTAAGTGAATCCAGCAGTCGTTAAGCAAATCCAGCTTCCTCCATTGACTTTGCTTGTTGGAAGCCAACTGGGAAAGTTGCAAATGATGATCACATGACCCCAGGATGCTGCAACGGTTGTAAATATATGCCAGTTGCCAACAGCACAAATTTTGATGAAGTGACTACGGGGGGAGCTTGGAGGTCTTCTAGTCCAACCCCCTGCTCAGGCAGGAAACCCTGTAAGTCTTTTGTAGGTCGCTTTTTCAGTGCAGTTGGTTAACTTTCAACAGTTGCTAAATGAACGGTTGTAAATCAAGGACAACCTGTGCTGGAGCTTCCCAATTCAATATTCATGGTGCAAAGATCAATATGAAATGTTAAAAAGTTGTCTTTTAAAACTAAAAAGACACATCATGCTTACAGGCATAAATATATCAACAATGCCACACAAATAAAGGGGATAAAAGAAATCCGGCCTCTGAATAATTTGGAAGATGGAATACTCATTAACTGGAAATTGCAAGTGTTGGATGAGTGCTTGAGATATTCTTTACAAAACAGGATCTGAAACACAAACACATCCAGTTGGGTGGCTTTCACATTCCTGAGATTCTCCGGCAAGCCCAAGGGATCTGTTCCCAAAGGAAGTTTGGCTATGGTGTGGATGCCCTGCTTCATTTGCAGAGCTGCCATGTTCTGCTAACTTGCTCGCTTGGCAATTAAGTCTGATCAAAGAAACACTTTAGTCTCCTCCTAGAGCAGTGTTTCTCAACCTTGGCAACTTTATGATGGGTGGACTTCAAATCCCAGAATTCCCCAGCCAAACCATGCTGGCTGGGGAGTTCTGAGAGCTGAAGACCACCCATTTTAAAGTCCCCAAGATTGAGAAACATTGTCCTAGAGCAGAGGTCTTCAAACCTGGCCCTTTTATGACTTGTGGACTTCAACTCCCAGAATTCCTCAGCCTGAGGAAGTCATAAAAGGGCCAAGTTTGAAGACCCTTGTCCTAGAGTATTAAGAAACCATTCCGACCATCTCCAACTGCCCTAGCTACTGGTCCAGTCAAATGGCTCCTAATGGGAGTTAAGGTCCAGTTTGTCCAGAGCTGGATTTAAATCAACCTCAGCCTCAACACATCCGGGTAATCTTGGTTTAACTGTGTTTTTCCGTCACAGGATCAAAATAAGCAGGAAGAATTGGAACCTTCCATTGCGGATAGTAGCTAAAATGGGAACTCAAATATAAATAATGCATCAACTTGCTTTCCCCTGAACCCAGGACAGTAGGAGGCTAAATAACTCCATGCTCCACAGTGCAGGAACATGACATACCTCTCCAAAAATAGATACCACATAGGATAACACAGCATAATATAGTATAATAAAGAATCTGGGCATGTCAGCTCTAGTGCGATCTCTTGTTACTGAGCTATAATGACCATGGGCTTCAACTACTTGTACATTCAAGGTTATTTTTAAAATGTTTACAGTTCCAAAACTCATCTCGTTTAATTTTTTAAAGGACCTGATTTAAAAAGTTAAAAAGGACCTGAATTTTTCCAGGGGAAAAAAGTGAAAAGGGATGTGATTGCTTTTGCTGCTATCTTTCTGTGAAACCGAAAACTATTTTTGCTAACGACTCTACGATTCTGATTTTAAATGCAGCATTTTGATTTTTTAAAAAATGGATAGCAAGCTTTTTTCACAAAATAGGCAAATCAAAAGAGTCCTTTTCATGACCTCTCATTCTTTTTCAGCCATTTACCTCACAGGATTATTGTTGTGAAGAAAATGAAAGGAGAAAGCCACAGACACACAAAACTCACAAACAGCAGAGTAGTTGGATCCTCTGATGCACATGAAAGGTTTAAATAAATTCGTTGTAGCTCTCTTCAATCTGGTACCCTTAAAATACAATGGATTTCAACTACCATAATCCCCAGCCTCCTTGGAGTGGTTACCACACTGGGGAAGGTTTATGGTAACCAGATTCTAAGTTCCAAAGCTCAGTGGAAGAACATCTCTAAATGATCTTGTTTGATCTTGAAAAGCCAATCTGGGTTAGATGTGGAAAATAGGAACTCAAAAAATATTACAGAAAAATATTACACAAAACATGACAGAAGCACCTCACTCCTTCATTAATGACCCCCACAAAAAAGACCCTTACATGATTATATCCATATAGTCATCAGTCTTGACTTTTCTACTTCTGAGCCTATCAGGAGAAACTAAGCTGTGTCTAGAGAGTGTGTATGCATATTTGTGGTTTTTCAGCTTAAGAAAACAAAACAACACCTATATATAAAATAAATACATACATTTCAAGATATAATAATAATAATAGTAGTAAAGTTGGAAGGGACCTTGGAGGTCATCTAGTCCAACCCCCTGCTCAGGCAGGAAACCCTACACCATTTCGGACAAATGGCTGTCCAGTCTCTTCTTAAAAACTTCCAGTGTTGGAGTATTTACTGCTTCTGGAGGCAGGCTGTTCCACTGATTAATTGTTCTCACTGTCAGGAAGTTTCTCCTTAATTCTAGATTGCTTCTCTCCTTGATTAGTTCCCATCCGTTCGTTGCTTCTTGTCCTGCCTTCAGGTGCTTTGGAAAATAGCTTGATTCCCTCTTCTTTATGGCAGCCCCTGAGATATTGGAATATTGCTATCATGTCCCCCCTTGTCCTTCTCTTCGTTAAACTAGACATACCCAATTCTAGCAACCGTTCCTTATATGTTTTAGCCTCCAGTCCCCTAATTATATTCAATCAATCAGTCAATACAGGTAGTCTTCAACTTAACAGTTTAGTGACTGTTCCAAGTTCCAACAGCACTGAAAAAAGTGATGATAATTTTTCACACTTATGACCGTTGCAGCATCCTCATGGCAATTGTCTCATATTTGTGACAGTTGCAGTGTCCTGGGATCATGTGATCCCTTTTTGCAACCTTCTGACAAGCAAAATCAATGAGGAAACAAGATTCATTTAACAACTATGGCAAAAAAGGACATAAAATGAGGCAAAATTCACTTAACTGTCTTGCTTAGCAATAGAATTTTGGGGTCAATTGCGGTCATAAGTCGAGGACTATCTATATTTTAAATCACATTAAACCATTTCTTTCAGTCAGCCTGGCATTTCTTTCCTGATGAGATAGAATTCTGTAAGCTGAATTTCCTGCAGAGCAATTGTGCTGAAGAAATAATAACTCTCTGAGTAAAAAAAGTACTGAAACAACAGAGTTATGAGTAATTTTCTTTAGTGAAAGCTGAAAACTCTGAGAACTGGAATTTAATACCTGCTATCATTTTTTCCATCTGGGGCTATGTGTGGTGATACAGGCTCTGACTTGTCAGTGCTCCTCAATTTTTTGCAAGCTCCAAGCATCCCATGCTGGGGAACCAATAAAAAGACAAGATTTTATATGCCCATGTACATTGCCTCCAGGTATGCATATAAGCATGCATGTAAAATTGCACAGATAACTATTGTGATCTAAAATTAAAACACACACAGCAAAAAGTGGTTTGCGGTTGAATGGGAAACTCCTAATGCAATGTTTTTCAACTTTAAGATATGCGGTCTTCAATTCCCAGAAATCTCCAGCTAGCATGGAGAATTCTGGGAGTTGAAGTCCACATATTTTAGAGTTGCAAAGACTGAGAAACACTGCTCTAATGACTTAAACCAGGGGTCTTCAAACTTGGCCCTTAAACTTGGCTTAAGCCAGGGTCTTCAAACTTGGCCTTTTTATGACTTGTGGACTTCAACTCCCAGAATTCTACAGGCACACTGGCTGAGGAATTCTGGGAGTTGAAGTCCACAAGTCATAAAAGGGCCAAGCTTGAAGACCCCTGGCTTAAACTAAAGGATTATCTAATCCAGTGAGAGTTAGTGTGTGTGAATGTGGTGGGCTAAAAGCAAGCTTGGGTTCGAGTCTCCCCTTAGCCACAGAAGCTCCCTGGGTGACTTTGGGTCAGCCCCTCCTTCTCAGTCCCAGAGGCAAGGTGGTTGAGGGATGAAGCTGCTGGACAAGGAACAGGGAGATTCATTTGACTTATGTAATTCCAATAAATTAAAATGCCATGAGCTATTCTTGAAATTTTAACAAAATTTCTAAGTACAACAGAAACATTTTTTTCCAAAAAATTAGTGATGGATTTAACTTGTGAATGAAATAATTTCTTTCATTTTGTTTGCCTTTTCCCTCCAGCCATGAGGCCAAACAAGAAACACAATTTAGAAATTATTTTTTAAAAAACAAAAGAGATATGTTTAGTCTAATGGTTAAGGCAACAGGCTAGAAACCAGGAGACTGTGAGTTCTAGTTCTGCCTTAGGCATGAAAACCAGCTGGGTGAATTTGGGCCAGTCACTTTCTCTCAGGCCAACACACCTCACAGGGTTGTTGCGGTCAGGAAAATAGAAGGAGGAGGGTGTGTTGGATACATTCACTACCTTGAATTATTTGTAAACATAATAAAGGCACGATGCAAACAAACAAATAAGTATGAACTTCAAAATTCCAGCCGGTTTGTTATTCTTCATCTCCAACCTTTGTTGTTATTTCTATTGTCTTTTTTACGTTTTAAATCATTTGTATACCACCTAAAGTCATTGGGAGTCAAGAGGCCTATATATTTAATAATTATCTCACTTACTTTGTCCATGTCACATGGGAAGAATTCACTGAAGTTAATTCCCATAACCGGGAAGTCCAATTATGTTTGGAAGAGTTAGCAGTAAAGGGAAACCGAGTCGTCAAAAAACATAGTGGCTGGACACTATCAAAGCTGACATCAGACAGAGCATAGGAAAAAAAAAATCAAAGAAATAGGGCAAGATCGGAAAATGTGAAGAGACCTGGCCCATAGAATCGCCAACAATCAGACTTGACTGAATGGATAACATCACTGTCAGTAATCATAAAATAAAAATTGAAGATAACCGTAATACTGTATTCCTTCATGGATTACTGCCTTGTCGTGGCAAAGGGGCTTGCGTAACTCAATGAAGCTATGAACTATGCCGTGCAGGGCCACCCAAGACGGACAGGTCATAGCAGAGAGTTCTGACAAAATGTGATCCACTGGAGAAGGAAATGGCAACCCACTCCAGTATCTTAGCCATGAAAACCCCATGGACAGTACCCAAAGGCAAAAAGATATGACGCCAGAAGATGAGCCCCTCAGATCAGAAGGTATCCAATATGCTACTGGGGAAGAGCAGAGGGTGAGTACTAGTAGCGCCAGGAAGAGTGAAGTGACTGGGCCAAAGCCGAAAGGACGCTCAGTTGTGTATGCATCTGGCGGTGAAAGGAAAGTCCAATGCTGTAAAGATCTTTTCTCCATAGGAACCTGGAATGTAAGATCCATGAATCAAGGCAAACTGGTCATGGTCAAATAATAGTCAAGGCTATGGTTTTCCCAGTTGCAATGTATGGCTGTGAAAGTTGGACCATAAGAAAGGCTGAGCGCAAAAGAATTGAGGCCTTTGAACTATGGTGCTGGAGAAGACTCCTGCGAGTCCCTTGGACTGCAAGGCGAACAAATCGGTCAGTCCTAGCGAAGATCAACCCTGACTGCTCTTTAGAAGGTCAGATCCTGAAGTTGAAACTCAAGTACTTTGGCCACCTAATGAGAAGGAAGGACTCACTAGAGAAGAGCCTCATGCTGGGAAAGATTGAGGGCAATAGAAGAAGGGGACAACAGAGAATGAGGTCGCTGGATGGAGTCACTGAAGCAGTAGGCATGAGCTTAAATGGACTCCAGAAGATGGTAGAGAACAGGAAGGCCTGGAGGAACATTGTCTATGGGGTCGCGATGGGTCGGACACGACTTCACAACTAACAACAATACTGTAATAACTGAAGAGGCAGTGCAACACAAAACATTGCTGATATTGACTAAGCTAAGCTGGGTTAGGCTTGGCTAATACCTGGATGGGATGCCAGGAAATCCCAGGTCTCAGAGTGGGAAATTCCCCCCCCCCCAAAAAGAAAGAAAATCCAGAATATGACAATTGCAAACCACTGCTTCCTTTCTACACTTTTTTTTTGTTTCTTGTTGATATTATTGTCTTGTTTTTGTATTTTATGTCATTTATAAACTATTCAGAGTGGCTAAGAATCGGGAGGCATATACATTTTATATTCTGGTTACAAATCCAGAAGACAGCAATTACACACCGCTGCTGTTCTGTTGTCAAGAGAACTATATGCATATCTCCACGTAGATATCAGGCTTCAATCTCCGCTAGAGGGAGCTATACCTAACTACTTCTGAAAGGCAGTAAAGTTAAAAAAAAAATACAGAACAGAAAATGAAACCATCACTTAGCAAAGTAAAAAGAAACTTACTTATAACCTCAAAATGCCCCCTCCCCCCAAAAAAAGCCTGCTGGGGAAAAATACTCTTGAACTATCTGTTTTTTAAAAGAAAAATTGTGAGACCAACTATAATAAGCGGCGCCTCCTTGTGGAATGAAACAAACGGGATTTTCCCTTTCCTACTTGGTGAATGCCCAAAAACTTGAGTACAGGATAAATTTGCAGGGATGAGTGGATCGGACCACAGGGGTTCAGTAGTAAGAGTTTCTTTAATTGGGGAGCTTAAGTTGGAGGGCGCTCCTCCGAAGTCTATAGCGAAAGGGTCTCAAGGGGTCTTATTTGGATTGAAACCCCAGGGGAGCAGAATAAACCTGGTTAGCTTGCTGGGGGCAGGTGGTCAGGAAATTAAGCTTGGCTTAATTTCTCAGGGTTGGGTTGGTTTAACATTGGGGGGGGGTTGATCCTTTGCCAGGACAGCCACACGAGACTGGAAACGAGACGGGGCGAGGGCTAGCTCTCATCTAGGGCGCAGGACCCGGATGCCCGGGAAGGGGGACGCGGCGGGTACCTGATTTCGGCCAAGGTGAGGCTGTTGCTGCGCAGGGCCATTCCCAGCTTCGCCATCCTGGATGTTTGGCCCAGCAGGCGCGACTGGCGCGCGGAACCGGTACCCGGGAGACAGGCGGGTCGGATGGGCAGCCTCTGGCTTTGCTCCGGACCGTCTGATCTTCTCCCTTTTTCCTCCCTCCGTGACTGATGCGCCGCCGCCGGGGGAAAACTTCTTGAACTCCGCCAAAATGCGGGGGAGGATCTTGCGCCCCTCGTAGCTCGCGGGAGGACTGACGGAGTCCGTCGCTCGGCTGCGTCTCGCCCGAAAATCGAGATCAGCCTTCGGGAAGCCGGAGAGCGATGCGGAATCGCGAAAATCCACCCGAGTGACTCCGGATTGGCCGAAAGGAAACGGCGACTGCTAAGGGCAATGACGCCCCCTGATGGTTTAGAAGAAGTTTAGAGGAAGGCTAGCTTCGCCCTAAACGCATATTCAGGTCGGGCATCTGATTTATTTCTTAATTAAATTTATGGCATATATTTCCTTTCAACGCTCCCGGTGGCACATGACGCTCTTCCTCTTCCCATTCTCTCTCTCCCCCCCCCCCCAAACTAGAACAATAATCCTGCGAGGCAGGCTAGGCTGAATCAGTATGATTATCCAGCTTCATTAAAGGTAAAAGATTGGCTCGATCTGATGAGGAAGCAGACTATTCTAAAAATAAGGAACCTGGCATTTGGTGAAGAGCTTTGCTTCTATAGATCCCAGGGATCAGCTGAGAAAATTATTTTAAGTAGGGAGCAGGACTTTAGCAGCTGGAGTGGATTCAAGTGATGGGTTTTCTACTATTGAGCTGTGAAATGTTGGTGCTGTGAAAATGAAAAGATGAAGCACTCTATTTTCTTATGTGCATTATTTATTCATTTATTTAATTTCTATAGCCAGCCATATGATTTTTAAAAATTATAGCGTAGTACAAAAACAAATATATACAGGTGCCGAGGAAAAGTATCTTTATAGGTGTCAATATAACCAGTGTCTCTTAAACTTTTTTCGTTTAGAACTCTTTCCCACTTTTATATTTATCAATATTTACTGAATTAATAATTCAAATTAACACATTTGCTGCTGCTACCACTTCTTAAAATTGTTTGATGGGATTTTAATATTATTTTTCAACATAGGCTGGCAAATAATGTTGATTTCATGGACCCCTGAGAGGGTCCAAAGATCCTACTAACCACATTTTAAGAAACTCTTATCTGGAGCAGTGTTTCTCAACTTTGGCAAGTTTAAGACGTGTGGACTTCAACTCCCAGAATTTCCAGAAGTGCCCAGCCAGCTATGTGTCATCTTAAAATTGCCAAAGTTGAGAAACTCTGACAATGTTTCTCAATCTTGACAACTTGAAGATGGCCGGCTGAGGAATTCTGGGAATTGAAGTCCACAGAACGTTAAAGTTGCCAAGGCTGAGAAACACTGAGCTAGGGCAAGTAACAGAGTAAAGAGCTGAGCTTGCTGTATATTAATACAGCCCCTCAGTGAGACTTTTTATATGAATCTTACTTCAGTTTAGATTATTATTTTATTTTATTATTTTATTTTATTATTTTATGTTATTATTTTGTATCCCACCTTTATCATTTTTTTTTACAAATAATTCAATGTGGTCAACATGTCATCTTCTTCCTCCTATTTTTCCCCCCAACAAGGGCCCTGTGAGGAGAACTGGGCTGAAACCCAGCAGGCTGTCATGGCTAAGGCAGAACTAGAACTCATGGTCTCCCAGTTTCTAGCCTGGTGCCTTAACCACTAGATCAAACTGGCTCAGATATTGCCGTCTGGATTTGAAAAGGCATTTCAAGAATCTGCATTCCAGACCACAATCATTAAACTCTGAAGCCAAATGCTGCCCACTGCCACAAAACCTAAGAGACAACTCACTGGAGCAAAGCAAAGGAAGTATAGGAGAGGATCAGGCAGAGCGTAGAGGAGGGGTCAAGCGTGTCATCAGTCTACAGTCCCTTCGCATCCACAAAAGGGCTAAGTCCAGACCTCCTTGAATTCCATTGACCCTTATCTACCACCAGTTTGTTGTGACCAGATTCTTGTAGAGAGTTTAAGCTTGCAATAAATCTTTATATTCATTTAAACTGCCTGGACTTCCTGACTTTTTCTGCACTTGATAGGAAGCTAATCCTATGCCTTGCCTTTCAGAAATGTCCACAAAGGAGGGTCTAAAAAATTCAAGATGGCACTCATGACTTTGGAACCCCACCTGAACCCCAACTGAAACCCCTTCAGTTGTGACTGCTACTTTAACTTTTTTGAGCTTTTCTTGGGAAACCTTTAAGGCAGTGTTCCCCAACCTTTTCAGGTTGGTGGCAGAGCATGGGGGGGTGAGGGGTAGGTGACACATGCGCATATACAGAAACACAACTTCATTTGTGTGAATGGCAATGTGGGCAGGGCTGTGAGTGCCAGCGCCCACCGCTCACACAAGTTGGGTTGTGTATGTGTGTGCACAGGCCCACCACTCACGCGGCCTGATTGCAAATAGGCCACAGCCCAATAATGGGTCACGGCTTACAGGTTGGGAACCCCTTCCTTAAGGTCACCTACATCCCATTTGAAACTGCAGACATACTGCAGCAACCCTGAACATTAGGAAAATGAATCAGAAAATCAGGAATCAGGAAAACAAATCAGATCATCTATTCAACATCTTCCAACAAAATGGACATCTGTGTACCTTCATCAAAAAGTGCCTGACCACTCAACCCATAGCACAACCAACACAAGCTGTGAAAAAGGTAACACTGCCATACATCACAAACATCTCTGAAACAAACAACAGACTATTACAACCACATGGCATCACTTTAGCATTCAAAGCAACGATAGCTCTCCAAAACATCCTAAGTAAACCAAAAGACCCAACTGCTCAGAAGAAAAAATATAAGTAATCTTACAACGCACAGCCACTATATAGGACAAAGAAGCAGGAAACTGTCATAGCATCCATGAACACAACTAGCAATCAGAAGGCACAATTACATCTTCTTAATTGCAAAACACATGGATAGACTTCACCATAGTTTCAACTGGGAAACTATGACCATCCTAGACCAAGCCAAGTCCAAAGTCACTAGAGAATTCTTGGAAGCTTGGCACTCTCATAAATCAGCCATCAATTGGCAATAAACGCCATCATTCAAAAAAGGCAGTCAAAAAACTAAAAAGGAAACAAAAAGATCAAAATGCCTCTTCTCCAGCAATCAACATCCAGATAAGCAGAGATTAACACCAAGTTTGGGGGACGTGAAAGGAGCCTCCCTGGAAGATTGCATTATGTTTGACAATTGGACATCCCTTGGACAGTGGTGCTGTCACCGGCAAATCCTTTCAATTCAGAGGCACCCTTTGGTTAGCTTTGTAGGTGCTTCTGACATGAACACAAACAGAGCACCAAGATTAACACTAGACCAACAATCAAACAAACGGTAAACAACCAAGGAACTACCAACTCAGACAAACAGTCAGACAGTAAACCACAGCCTAATCAAGGAACTACTTAGAATATTCCCACCAACACTGGTGGACAAGTCACTGGTATATAAACATAGAGTAAACCCCGCTTTCTCCTAGCTCTGCTGATGTTACCTAGTTGGGTAATAAAACATCTGGAAGAAAACAACCAACCTCAGAGAGCACCAGACAAGAATCCAGACCTCTGTAAATGTTTCTGATATTGAGAGTAACTAAGAAGAATCTCGATTTAGCTGGAATTTGGGTTTGGCTAGTCTAAATAAAAGAAGAAATAGGGGAGACATGATAGCAGTATTCCAGTATCTGAAGCACTGTCACAAGGAAGAGCGAGTCACGTTGTTCACCAGAGCACCAAAGGGAAGGATGAGACACAATGGTTGGAAATTGATCAAGGAGAGAAGCAACCTGGAATTAAGGAGAAACTTCCTGACAGTGAGGACAATCAACCAGTGGAACAGCTTGCCTCCAGAAATCGTGGGCGCTCCATCACTGGAGATTTTTAAGAAGAGACTATAGGTTCTTCTGTTTGAGTGGGGAGCTGGACTAGAAGACCACCAAGGTCCCTTCCAGCTCTATTCTATTCTATTCTATTCTATTCTATTCTATTCTATTCTATTCTATTCTATTCTATTCTATTCTACTTTTGTTTTAGAAAGCTGCATTTACAATACATGTCAGATTTCTCTGAACTTGAAATCTTTCGGGATTCGTACTCCAAGATTTCAAAGACAGAAATCAGTGAATGCACCTTGTTTCTAAGCACACCAGTGTAGGTGATGTGCACACAGATGAGGGCAGCACTTAATGTGCAACTTAGATTTTCACATATTGTAGTACAGCCTCATCTAAAAGTACTCCTCACCTTATGAATACAAGTGGAATCAAAATTCTATTGCTAAGAAAGCCAGTTGTTAAGTGAGTCACGACCAGCGTTATGACTTTTTTGCACAATTACTAAACAAGTCCCTGCAGTTGTTAAGTGAATCACACAGCTGTTAAGCAAATCCAACTTCCCTCATTGATTTTGCTTGGTGGAAGTCATATGGGAAAACTGCAAATGTTGATCACCTGACCTGGGATGTTGCAATTGTCATAAATACAAGCTGGTTGCCAAGCATCCAAATTTTGATCACGTGGATACTGCAGTGGTCATAAGTGCGAGGACTGGTCATTTGTCGATTTTTTTTCCAGTGCTGTTGTAACTTCAAATGGTTGCTAAATGAATCATGGTAAGTCGAGGACTGTCTGTATTCTAGTGCTCTCTGGACATAATTCCCATCAACCTCAGCCGGCATGGCTGCTGCTTGCCTGAAATACAAGTTGCAATCCATCCCATCCGGCTGCAGAGCTGTGGTTTGCCTAACCTATTTTTAAGCCCACAGCCTCACACATCCTCTTTGCTTTAAAATCAGTGATGACAACTGACAGATTTAGAAACCATATAATGAAGGCGTCTCAGATGCCCTTGGCTTGGGCTTATGTTATACTTAAAGAAGAAGAAAAAATAAGCTCCTTTTTTTCCATGTTGGCACACTAACTAGGCATTAAAGCACATTCAAGAAGACGTGGCAGAGCAGCTGATTGCTTCTGAATCACAATTTCCTGCTTGTTGTCAGCTTTTGTGTTTTTTTCTTCACAGTAGCCATTAGTGTATTTTGGCTCTTAGCCTTTTCTTGCAGGACTTCTATTTTGTGAATTATAGGCAAGGGTGTGGAAGTGCAGGGCAGGGAACAATTTGAGCATGTCAAACCAATTCTGAAACATTGCCAAGAAAACTGCCAGAACTAGTCCAGGCAGTTGCCAGGAGTGTGACTTCAAAGCACAAAAAAGAAAAGAGACAAGAAACAAAATGAAGCAAAGCAAAAGGAAACTAGTTAGGGCTGAGTTTGTATAATTCCCCTTAACCACAAACTAGCATACTGCCTTATGTCGTATGAACCCAATCTTAAACAAAGCCTGCAAAGATAAGATTTTAATTTGTTCTGCATCTACAAACTGGGGCCTGCGGGTCTG